TATTATTCTAACTTACACATCCTTACCAACATTTTCTATTAGTTATTACTCTTATTACTTATATTAGTGTATCTTTCAAATTGTCATGCAATTATATATTGCACAGTGAGCATTTGTCTCCATATTCCTGAAATTTCCTTTTTTCCCCTTTCCCTTTCTACTAGTTGTGGTGATACATTGTACATTCCAATAAAACTTATCTGGGGATCAGAGGACAGAGCCAGCCACTAGATTAGACATAGAGGCCAGACAACAATGGCATACACCCTTAATCCTATCACTCTGGAGACAGAGATCTAGATGTATCTCTGTGAGTTCAAGGCCACACTGGGAACTGAACCAGGCAGTGGTGGTACACAGCTTTAATCCCAGGACTTGAGATCTCATGTCTTTGCTTAGGAAGGACACACACCTTTAATCCCAGGAAGTGTTGGCAGGAAGTAGAAAGGTACAAAAGGCATGAGGAAACAGGAACTCCCATCTTTAGACTGAGGATTTCAAAGAGGTAAGAACTAGTGGCTGGCTTGTTCTGTTTCTCCAGTCTTTCAGCTCTCACCCCAATATGTGGCTCCAGGTTTGATTTTTTTACTAGTAAGACCCTTTAAGGTTTGTGTTCCAACTACTCTGCCTTGTTTACCTGGACAGTTTTGCTTCTACTTTCAGGTCATATGTACATACACGATCTTAGTTTCTAAATAAAATCTAGGAACAAAATGTAATTGTGATATTTGACTTTTAGAGTAACTCCATTACTTAATATTCTTACTTATAGTTTACTTAATTTTCTTGAAAAAAAGATTACTTCATTCTTCTTTGTGGCTGAAACATATCCACACTCCATATTTTTTGTGTTTTTATTCATTGCTCAGTTGAAAGTTTTATTTGGTTCCATAGTTTAGCTATTGGGAACATGAGGCAATAAACAGTGATGTGGAAATTTTCATTGTGAAGTCGTTCATCTTCTTGGTTGGGTTTATTCCTAGAAACGTATGAAGTGTGATTTAAATGACCTTTTGTTTTGTTCAATTGTTTGTTTAGTATTTTAAAATTAGTTTACAAAGTAACACATTCCTTATAGCATTTCCCTTTGTACTTCATTTTGGTTGATTCTCCCTTCCTATGATACTGCCTCTCTGTTAGCTAGTGGATTACTATTTCCACCTTTATATTTTCGTGTGTTACATTGTCTCCTTTCTCTCTCCCTTAAAACCTTTTGTTCCATCTCATGAGCACTTACAGTTTCTTGTCCTTTATTCCCATTTAATTCCTCCTAGATATACATATTAAAAGATCAGAAGCTAGGGTCTGTGTATAAAAGAGAACATAAGGTATTTATCTTATTTTCTTTCCAAACATCTTTGTCATCCATACATAGAAAGACACTGATCTGCTAATATTGGTCTTCTGGTTTTCTGTTTGGCCAAAACCATTGGTTATATGTAAAAGTCTCCCAACTTGGGTGTGCACAGGTTTTATTCACTCTGTTACAGTCACTATGAATTTACATGTGCAGCTCATCCTACTGTGTACAGAAGACAATGTTTCATTGCAGTCGTGGGTTATCTCTTTCTGTTTCTGTCTCCTCTTCTGGGATGATCCCTGAGGCTATCCTGGGTGGTTGTGATTTTATATATATGTATTCTGATGTGTATGATATATAATTTATATTTGATATATATACACATATATATGTAATATCTCTCTCTTTCTCTTCCTCTATACATCTGAGAAGCTAATATTTGCAGTAGATGGTGATTAGCACAGGATATAAATTCATTAGTTGAACATTTAGCCATCTTTTCTTCTCTGCTTCTTGGCCAGTTGTGGGTCTTTGCCCTCATCACCATCTACTGCAAATATAGCTTCTAAGATGGAGGTTGAGAGATGCATTGGTCTCTGAGTACAAGGCTGAGTCTTTAGGAATTGGCTTAATACTATGCCCATTTAGCAGATGAATAGAAGTAGATTTCCTTCTAGGGCCTATGACCTGCATAGCCACTGTTTCTTGGACAATGAATGGTGCTATGTATGGTTGTCATCTTATGAAGTGGGACTTAATTCCAATCAGACAGTTATTTCCTTGAGGTTTGTCATTATTGCCTCTTTGAGGAATCCTTGAAAAGGCAGTCACTATTGTGTCTTATGGGCTAACAACAAGGTATTATTAGTGAGTATTTTTATCCTATGGGACTTAGGTAATACCTTCCAGAAAAAAATCCTAACACAAAGTGGGCAGTTGGACATGCAATATCATTCTCAGCCATGGAGCTATTGGCATTTTTTTAGCTTTTTGGAGAGGGAGAGACAGTTTTCTCTATAACTGTAGCCCCTGGTTAAACTGACCACACTCCAGTAGAAGACCACATAAAACTTTGAGTAGCAACAATTGCTCTTAAACAGTTTAAAAATAAAGCAAGGTAAACAGAGATAAATGGTTATGGAAGGGGATTGGATTGGAAAAAGTTTTGAGAGGTGTGAATATTATCACAATATTTTTTTGTTTTTTTTCAGAAAGCAAATTACAGTAAAACATTTTCTTTTTTAATTAATTTTAATAATTTTTTTATTCATTTTACATACCCAAGATTTCCCTCTTCCCTCCTTCCACTCCTCCAGCCTAAACCCCAATTCACCCGCCTACTCCCTCCTACAAGAAGGTAAGGCCTCCCAAGGGGAGTCAGCAGAGCCTGGTCCATTTAATAGAGGCAGACCCAGGCCCCTTTTCCTGCCTCAAGGCTGTGTGAAGTGTCCCATCATAGGCAGTGGGCACCAAAAAGCCCTCTCATGCACCAGGGATCTATTCTGATCCTACTGCCAGGGACCCCTTAAGCAGACC